TTCCTACCTAGATGTTCTCACCTAGATGTTCCCACCTAGATGTTCTCACCTAGATGTTCTCACCTAGATGTTCCTACCTAGATGTTCCTACCTCGATGTTCCTACCTAGATGTTCCTACCTAGATGTTCCCACCTAGATGTTCTCACCTAGATGTTCCTACCTAGATGTTCCTACCTCGATGTTCCTACCTAGATGTTCTCACCTAGATGTTCCTACCTAGATGTTCTCACCTAGATGTTCCCACCTAGATGTTCTCACCTAGATGTTCTCACCTAGATGTTCCTACCTAGATGTTCCTACCTCGATGTTCCTACCTAGATGTTCCTACCTAGATGTTCCCACCTAGATGTTCTCACCTAGATGTTCCTACCTAGATGTTCCTACCTCGATGTTCCTACCTAGATGTTCCCACCTAGATGTTCTCACCTAGATGTTCCTACCTAGATGTTCCTACCTAGATGTTCCCACCTAGATGTTCTCACCTAGATGTTCCTACCTAGATGTTCCTACCTCGATGTTCCTACCTAGATGTTCCCACCTAGATGTTCTCACCTCGATGTTCCCACCTAGATGTTCTCACCTAGATGTTCCTACCTAGATGTTCTCACCTAGATGTTCCCACCTAGACGTTCTCACCTAGATGTTCTCACCTAGATGTTCCCACCTAGATGTTCTCACCTAGATGTTCCTACCTAGATGTTCCTACCTAGATGTTCCCACCTCGATGTTCCTACCTAGATGTTCCCACCTCGATGTTCCTACCTAGATGTTCCTACCTAGATGTTCCTACCTAGATGTTCCTACCTAGATGTTCCCACCTCGATGTTCCTACCTAGATGTTCCCACCTCGATGTTCCTACCTAGATGTTCCCACCTCGATGTTCCTACCTAGATGTTCCCACCTCGATGTTCCTACCTAGATGTTCCTACCTAGATGTTCCTACCTAGATGTTCTCACCTAGATGTTCTCACCTAGATGTTCTCACCTAGACGTTCTCTCATAGGTGTTCACAGTGAGCTGTGAGAGGTAGAAGGGAAGTGTTGTTGGTGGCCAAGTTAACTGTGTTCCCACACATCGTTCCAGGTGGAGACAAGTTGTTAAGAAATTCAGTAGAGTAAGGCAAGGTTCTTGTCAAGAATGTATACTCCACCGGATACCTCGAATAAATCATTGAAAGGAAGATCTGATGCAGCAGCCAACACGACACAAGCTGTCCCATGGGCCTATTACACTTATACATTAATGATGGGACGCTGCCCTTTCTAGGTGTAACAGTCGCGAAAAGGAAAGGAATGGGGCTTCTATACTGCAGTCTACACTAAGGAAACGAACATAGGAATGTGCCTTAATTCCAATAGTGACTGCCCAGACCGGTACAGGAGTAGTGTTCTTAACGCTTACATTGACCGAGCTCTCACTCACAGCTCTGGTTGATAGCAGGTCGACGAGGAACTCTGTAGAGTTAAGAAGGTCCTAGTCAACAATGGCTTCTCTAACGGTTATGTTGAAGACGTCATTAAAAGAAAGGTGACACGCCATGCAACCTCTGAAGAATCAACTAACACAACACTTGTACCTCCTATTAGACTGTTTTACAGGAACTTCTTTTCGACGGCTCATAAAACGGAGGAAAGTGTCCTGAAAGATATTATTGATAGGAACGTTATCCCCACAGACACAAATCAGAAGATACAATTAACAATTTACTACAAAAACAAGAAGACGGCCAACCTACTTATGAAGAACTCTCCAGACACCAAACAGAACGCCTTGAAAGAGACCAACGTCGTCTATGCCTTCACATGCCCACTTGGGGACTGTCAGCCCCAAAGATCTCAGTATATAGGCAAGACAACAACGTCTCTCTCTAGGCGATTAACAATGCACAAGCAACAGGGCTCCATCAAGGAGCATATAATCTCCTCACACAACCAGACCATCACCAGAGACATCTTAACAAGCAACACTGAAATTATCGACAGGTACAACGACAACAGGAGACTCGACATCAGCGAGGCCCTACACATCAAAAAGTCAAAACCAGCAATCAACAGCCAATTAACACATAATTACATTCTACCCACTTCAAAACCCCGAACCAACACAGAAACAGTAGAAGCAAGAACATAGAACACGCAATGGCCTATTAATACCCATTATGCCATTGATCCACTTGTTCATCTCAATCATGTCCTGTATCACCTCACCCCAAGCGAATATAAGCCTTGGCAGAGTATGGAAAATTTGTCTTTGAAAATATAAGGAGTGCCTTGCGAAACGCTTCCCTAGGCGTCAGACCATAAATATAGTGTGAAAATGAAGTTTGGAGAGTTAATTTTTCAACTTCCCTCGACAGTGAAGAAAAACATAAGAAATATTGAGAAGATTCGTGTTAGAATCATTAATCTTACCCTTTCGGTCATATTCAACAACATTGTGCATGCATGTGTGCATGCGTGTGTACGTGCATAGGTGCGTGTATACGTACGTGCGTGCGTGTGTACGTGTATGCGTGCGTGTGAACATGCATGCGTGCGTATGTACGTGCATGCATGCGTGCGTATGTACGTGCGTGCATGCGTGCGTATGTACGTGCGTGCGTGCGTATGTACATGCATGCGTGCGTATGTACGTGCATGCATGCGTGCGTATGTACGTGCATGCATGCGTGCGTATGTACGTGCATGCATGCGTGCGTATGTACGTGCATGCATGCGTGCGTATGTACGTGCATGCATGCGTGCGTATGTACGTGCATGCATGCGTGCGTATGTACGTGCGTATGTACGTGCGTGCATGCGTGCGTATGTACGTGCATGCATGCGTGCGTATGTACGTGCGTGCATGCGTGCGTATGTACGTGCGTGCATGCGTGCGTATGTACGTGCGTGCATGCGTGCGTATGTACGTGCGTGCATGCGTGCGTATGTACGTGCATGCATGCGTGCGTATGTACGTGCGTGCATGCGTGCGTATGTACGTGCGTGCATGCGTGCGTATGTACGTGCGTGCATGCGTGCGTATGTACGTGCGTGCATGCGTGCGTATGTACGTGCATGCATGCGTGCGTATGTACGTGCGTGCATGCGTGCGCGTGTAAGAGTGTGTAGTGATAATGACAAGAGCAGTAGTAAAAGTAACAATAAAATAATAAAGTGTATAATAAAAACGGCAGATTAAGTGTTGAGAAGTAATTGTCCACAAGTTACCAAGGCTTAGCGAGACATCGTCACACACAGGAGACATAACATATTATTACGTTCACCACACCACACATTAGAAGTTGAAGGGACGACGACGTTTCGGTCCGTCCTGGACCATTCTCAAGTCGACTTGAGAATGGTCCAGGACGGACCGAAACGTCGTCGTCCCTTCAACTTCTAGTGTGTGGTCTGGTCAACATACTTCAGCCACGTTATTGTGACTCATCGCCTGCATATTATTACCTTAATGAAGCACATTAATGTGCTGTATATAGTTTAAAGGCTGACTAATTATACCGTGAAGATGAGCACACTCGCCCAGGCTCATGTCATAACAGTATATAAGTTGGAATACTGTGAGAGAGTTGCACTACTGAGGTTAATAACAGTGAACTGTGAAGGGTGGACGGTCTGGCACTGTACCAGGGTGATGTATGGCACCGTAGACCAGTCGGGGGGGGGGGGGGCACCCACCTCTCACTGCTGTCTTACTCTCCGTACTCACCTAGTTGTGCTTACCTGGATCTACTTCAGCTCCTCGGGTCCGCCTTCCATCCTTCACACAAGTGTTGTAGAGGACCCCGAGCCTAGCAGGCGTGGCGTGCCTGCCTCACGGGCCTGGGTATGGTCTCTCTCTCCACCACATCACTCTCAGTATTATTGGTTCACTGAAAAAGTCGTTCTGACGTCTCTGGCTCATTCACATGTAAGGTTCTCACCCGTGGTAAACAGTGTGATCATTTCTGTCTTGTCTATACCGCTAAGAACTTTGTATATGGTGATCATATCTGCTATTATTATTCGTCCAAGAGAATTTATGTTTAATTTATTTTTCCCTTGTTGTTCATATCACTCAGCTCTGGTTGTAGTCTCAGTAACATCTCGGAATTCTCTCCAGCTTCGTTTTGTGATTAACGCGACGACTACTGGTCGCTGGCGCTACATGTTCCATTGATCTAAATGTTTAAAAACATTCTGAGGGCAGCTGTTATTGTGTGGAGCGTTGCATACTCTGCTGATGATACTGGCGTGTTAACAGGTGTGTTGATGCCATGTGGGCCGCGGGAGACATGTTTGGCGTGACGTCAACCCCAAGCTCATTGTCTCTTCCATTGTATTAAGTTTTCTCTTTTACTTTTTTATGTTTTGTTGCCGCCGGAGGCGATTAGTTTATTGTGCACCCCATACTCATCCTGTGAGCGGTAGCGCAAAAGCATTACAGAGGGCACAAAAGGTCTTTATCAGACCTCATCTTAGATTATTACATTAACAATTTATTCTATCCTTCACACCTTATAGTTACAATGTCAGCTAGTTACAGAGAAAATGCTATTTCAAGACCTATATATTTACTACAGTAAGTCATTATACATTAATGGAAGGTCTTATCGCTAATACATAATAGTTTGATCAATGGGGATAATAAAGTCATAGGGAAGCTGCTGTTTATTAAGCTGTCTACTTCAGTGTTGTCAATAATTTCGAATGCTACCAGTATTGCTACCAACTCGGCTTGCATTGTGGACGCCCAGTTACTAATTCGGATATTCCTTTGAGTTGTGCTGCCATCGGGCTGATGAGCAATAACAGCACTTCCTGCCCTCCCAGTAGCTGCATTGAGTGATCCGTCAGTGTATATGGTCAGTGTTATGTTGTTTTCAGCTTGTATATTGTGAATGAGTTCTATGGTGATTAATTTAGCAGCAAGCTGAGCATGAGGGTTGTTTGTGTTGGAAAGTTCCAACACTGATACATCCCTATTGTATCATAATGCATCACTATTGTATACTAAGCATAGTATCTATTAACCTTAATAACTGTAGTTCTAATATAAATTAATATTTTTCCATCTGCGCATCACTTACTAAAATTCTCACCACATCGAGAGGTAGTATTGCGTCAGATAATATCCAGTAAGATATAATTATTGTCAACATGCTAGAGAATTGAATAATATTCTCAACTTTTATCAGTATTCTTTATAAGAATTAATATCTGATAATATAACAACTAGTGATTCAATAACCACGAGTTATCAACTAAAATATCACTATATAACAGTTTATCTGTTATATTAACCCATCATGGAGGAAACAGAACCTCTCTCCATTTCTCGTTCAATAAGAACACTGTTCATAATTATTGTTATCCAGCGAGAATATAAACAATATTTAATTCCCTACAATTGCGACCCTATTCTCATTAACGTATTAAGTAGAGTAATTACAAGGAAAAGAATTTTCCGTTTCTACTAAAATGTGAATGCGTCAGAGAGTGTTGAGGGAGACGGAGGCGTAGCGACGCCATCACTAGCGACGCAACTGGCGAGAGAGTCGGACGCGAGACAACGTGGCGTCCATTAGACCAGGGAGAGGCGAAGTTTTCAACAATTCTACGACAGGCCCTTGCTATTACTCGGCCTTGGAGTGTGCTACTACTCCAGTAGCAGTCTAAAGATAGCATCGGTGGACAACCAGCAGGTAGAGTGTTCTAGTACTTTTATACGAGCTCGCTATAATTTTTACTGTGCACTTGTCCATCGTTACGCCATAATACCTCCCCAAACGCCAGTGTGTGTCGGAGCTGCCGTGGTCGCCACATTCCCCCACACTACGCTAGTGGATCACTGTTCTAGCAAGTCCCAGATGACGCCATCTCGACCCCGCATCTCCGTTCACTAAGCAGCTGAACTTACTGTAATTTAGTTCCTATTTACTAATGAACGGTTGAAACCTAATAATAATTTGAGAATATATTTCATTTACGTGATTTAGAATATCAAGTATAATTTGATAGCCTCATGCACTTTAGATGAGAATAATTTTCTTGTTTAATCATTACCCAATATATTCTTGCTACTAACCAAATTATCAAATGTCTATTTTACTTATATATCTTTGTAAGAGTTACTAAATTTATTCGAGGATGAACCAGCCTCGATGAAGTGTACTGGAAGTACTCAACTGCTGGTATTAATCCCCCATTTGTGAAGTTTGGGAAAGTTTACTTTTGAATAGTAATTTATTCTACAGTCCATTAATATTCAATTAATATTCAATTAAGGAATAACTTAATAGTTACATTATCCACAGGCACTGGTATTTCAGTCCTTTCCTATTGTTCCTTTATCTGTTTCCCTTTTCAGTAAAAATAGGGTGGTCCTTCGATTAATTTAAATCGGTTAATTAAATATCAATATATTGAGAATAAGCTTTCCTTCACATTTTGTGATTAGGTTCTTGGTGGGGTATGCAGGGATCAGGATGTCAAAAGGTACTATCTGCCAGGGTGGAGGAAGTGCTGTACTCTTTCATCTGTATATACATCGTGCAGTCTATCATTTTAATATGAGTGGCTGTTCTTTGAATCCATTTAGACTCGCTAGTTCCATTTCGTATGTGTTCTAACAGTTCAACTGACACAATGTTGTTTTTGTTATCACGCAGCAGCTTTAGTGCCATCATATGATTAATTTCAAATATTCTATCTCGAATGTTAGTTATATTTAATTATTTCCGCATATTGAGAACTTTGGAAGTTATAGAACAGCAAAGTATAATTCTGAGTGCTTCATTTTGCATTTGTTCCAGTCTATCAATACTTTTGCCATTTTGCAGGACTAAAGCTGGAGCATGATAGTCTATCAGATACATTATATATGCTAAGTACATCATTTTTGCTATTCTAATATTAACATCGTATTTAGGGCTGTACCCCACTACAGTTCTGAGAGCCTTGAGTCTGTCTCTACATTGTTGATGTAACTTATTGACTGCAGTTGAGGTACAAGGGACAGAGACACCAAGGTATTTGAAAGAAGAGACATAGTCTTTTGATTGTGTTATCTATCTTAAGTTTTCGTGGTCCACTTTTGCGGTTACCAATTTATCTATTAAATACCTTAGTTTTAGCAGCGTTGATTACAAGACCAAGGCACTCACAAGCTGTATGTATACAATTTCAGATTGTTTGCATTTTGCGGTGGGTTTTAGTATGTACAAGGATGCCATCTGCATAGCGGATAGTGATGTTTGCTGGACTAGTTGGGATTGATTTTAGTAAGGCATTAATTAGAACATTAAACAAGGTAGGTGTTATGGAAAGGTATGTAGTTGAACTGAGAGGGCCAATGGTACAAGATAGAAGCACACTTGAGGCACACTTGAGACACACCTGAGGCACCCCTGAGACACACCTGAGGCACACTTGAGACACACCTGAGGCACCCCTGAGGCACACCTGAGGCACCCCTGAGACACACCTGAGGCACACCTGAGGCACACCTGAGGCACAACAAGTTTACCTTGTTCTGAAGTTTCCAAGAACTGTTAAATAAATGTAAACAAAGACGCCATGATTGTTGAGAGATAAACATGTCTCGTAAATGTTTGTGTAAATCCTTGATGACTCTTGACCAGGATATTGTGTTACCTGCCGTGTGTGCTGTGGGAGCTCCAGCACCTCAGCTGGCAACACCAGAGGTATACAACACTTACCCCCTCTATTGTAGAGCACGGCGGCGCTCTACAACACTCTATTGCTCAAAGTGCTCACAGTATTCCTCAGCAACTCTCCCATGCACCACCACGAGGATGTCTCCAGCGACATTATTGATCGACACTTCATTTCCACTCTGCCTTTAGAAGACAGGAAATTGACATCATTATCTCAGGTAATTACACGAATTGCTTCGTCAGTGGAGCCCCAACACTGCCTGTTGTTGTTGTTCCCTGCCCACACCTGTCCTGCCTTGCCCACACCTGTCCATCCCTGCACACACCTGTCCATCCCTGCCCACACCTATGCTACCAGGCCCATACTTGCCTTCCTTGCCCACACCTGTCTTTCTCAGCCAACACCTGTCCATCCCTGTCCACACCTGTTCACACCTGTTCAATTCTGCCAACACCTGTCTTTTCCTGCCAACTCCTGCTGTTGGAAATTTCCAACATCCAAATGCTAAACCCTAGTACAATATTACAAATGTATTGTGCTAAGAAATTTAATTTACTAATACTACTAACGAGTAGTGTAGCAATATTAATTATTTATTTATTTATTTATATATTTATTTATTTATTTATTCATTTATATACAAGAAGGTACATTGGGTTTGTGAGAATACATTGGATAGTACAGTATTTACATTCTTGTAAAGCCACTAGTACGCGCAGCGTTTCGGGCAGGTCCTTAGTCTAACAGATAATTTTAAGTAGGTAAATTCTCAGAATTAATAAAATGATAAATACATTGCAAGAAAAAAATGAGATGAGAGATATTAGTAAGTATATTAAAGCACATTGGTATATTAAAGCTCTGATTGATTACATTGACAGCTTGATTGGTAATTTAAACAAGATTAATAGACACCATACAGCAGATTGACAGCACATATAAGAAGACAGCAATGATCACAATGATAAAGATGTTCAGATTGGGTACATAAAGATTGGGTAGCAGTAGATACAGTACAATTTTAAAGCAAAAGGTAAAAAACTATGAACATGAAATTAGGTACTTTTTAGTATTGTTTTTGAATGACGCAAAAGTTGGACTGCTTTTCAATTCAGTAGGGAGTGAGTTCCATAGACTGGGTCCCTTTATTTGCATAGAGTGTTTACACAGATTAAGTTTGACTCTGGGGATATCAAAGAGATATTTATTTCTGGTGTGGTGATAATGGGTCCTATTACATCTGTCCAGGGAGAGTTTGAGAGCAGGATTTGCATTTAAGAACAGGGTTTTGTAAATGTAGTTGACACAAGAGAATTTGTGGAGTGAGATTATGTTTAGCATGTTTAGGGAGTTAAAAAAGGGGGCTGAGTGCTGTCTGAAAGCAGAATTTGTTACTATTCTGATAGCAGATTTTTGCTGGGTGATGATGGACTTGAGGTGGTTTGCAGTGGTTGAACCCCCATGCACAGATGCCATAATTAAGATAGGGATAGATTAGTGCATAATATAGAGAGATGAGAGCAGAGTTAGGTACATAATATCTGATTTTGGAGAGTATACCAACTGTTTTAGAGACTTTCTTAGTTATGTGTTGTATATGGGTACTGAAATTGAGTCTCTTGTCTAGGAATAGGCTGAGAAACTTTCCATCATTTGTATTGCTAATGTTTACATTGTCTATCTGAAGCTGAATTGCATTTGTAGATTTGCTTCCAAATAAGATGTAGTAGGTCTTTTCTATGTTAAGTGTTAGTTTGTTGGTTGGCATCCATAAGTGGACTTTTTTTAGTTCATTATTAACAACATTATTTAGTGTATGTGGGTTGGGGTTAGAGTAGATGAGGGTAGTATCATCAGCAAACAAAATAGGTTTCAGAATGTTAGAGACATTAGGAAGATCATTGATGTATATAAGAAATAGGAGAGGTCCCAAAATGCTGCCCTGTGGCACTCCAACGGTTATTGGTAGAGTGGGAGAGGTTATATTATTGATGGCTACACATTGGTGTCTATCACTAAGATAGGATTGGATATAGTCCAGTGTATGGCCTCGGATTCCATAATAATGGAGTTTACGTAAGAGGTAATTGTGATTAACAGTAATTCTTATTAATTAATTATTCTTATTAATCTAAGGCCTAGTACCGCCAAATATTTCCTAGAATTCATGTCTACGGTTGCGTCAGCCGTAGATAATTTATCCATAAATTGAATTAAACCCAGTGTAACGTTGGGGGACAGTACACGACCCCGGGGAGTGAGGAGGACCAGGGGGACAGTACACGACCACGGGGGGTGAGGGGGACAGTGTACACGACCACGGGGGGTGAGGAGGACCAGGGGGACAGTGTACACGACCACGGGGAGTGAGGAGGACCAGGGGGACAGTACACGACCCCGGGGGGTGAGGGGGACAGTGTACACGACCCCCGGGGAGTGAGGAGGACCAGGGGGACAGTGTACACGACCACGGGGGGTGAGGAGGACCAGGGGGACAGTACACGACCACGGGGGGTGAGGGGGACAGTGTACACGACCACGGGGAGTGAGGGGGACCAGGGGGACAGTGTACACGACCACGGGGGGTGAGGAGGACCAGGGGGACAGTACACGACCCCCGGGGAGTGAGGAGGACCAGGGGGACAGTGTACACGACCACGGGGGGTGAAGGGGACCAGGGGGACAGTACACGACCACGGGGGGTGAGGGGGACAGTGTACACGACCACGGGGGGTGAGGGGGACAGTGTACACGACCACGGGGGGTGAGGGGGACCAGGGGGACAGTACACGACCACGGGGGGTGAGGGGGACAGTGTACACGACCACGGGGGGTGAGGAGGACCAGGGGGACAGTGTACACGACCACGGGGGGTGAGGGGGACAGTGTACACGACCACGGGGAGTGAGGAGGACCAGGGGGACAGTGTACACGACCCCCGGGGGGTGAGGAGGACCAGGGGGACAGTACACGACCCCGGGGGGTGAGGGGGACAGTGTACACGACCCCCGGGGAGTGAGGAGGACCAGGGGGACAGTACACGACCACGGGGGGTGAGGGGGACAGTGTACACGACCACGGGGAGTGAGGAGGACCAGGGGGACAGTACACGACCACGGGGGGTGAGGAGGACCAGGGGGACAGTACACGACCACGGGGGGTGAGGGGGGCAGTGTACACGACCACGGGGGGTGAGGGGGACCAGGGGGACAGTACACGACCACGGGGGGTGAGGAGGACCAGGGGGACAGTACACGACCACGGGGGGTGAGGGGGGCAGTGTACACGACCACGGGGAGTGAGGAGGACCAGGGGGACAGTACACGACCACGGGGGGTGAGGGGGGCAGTGTACACGACCACGGGGGGTGAGGGGGACAGTGTACACGACCACGGGGGGTGAGGGGGACTAGGGGGGCAGTACACGACCCCCGGGGGGTGAGGGGGACCAGGGGAACAGTACACACGACCCCCGAGGGGTGAGGGGGGACAGTGTACACGACCACGGGGGTGAGGGGGACCAGGGGGACAGTACACACGACCCCCGGGGGGTGAGGGGGGACCGGGAACTACACTGGGATCGTTACCTTGACACAGGTCGTCTTTAACGTGAGTCATCAGACCTCTCCACCTCCTCCGTCTCCTTCTACTTGACTGGCTCCTAATTTCCCGCCTTCCTCTTGCGGTCAAGTGAGCTGTGTTGGCCCGCCCCTTGCCAGGCAGCACCTCCTTGTTGCTCTTATTCCTGACAACGTTTGTTAGTTTTTTTTTCCAGGGATATTCCTGCGTGGGCCCCTAAGCCTCTGGCTGGCCCACTAAGTGTTGCTTGTTTCTGTTTTACTTGGGCGGAGTATGAGTATTTATGACTCGTATGGTCGCTTCAGTAAGATTTTGCCCCATGTGTTTAACAACTTCTTCTGCTCTGTTGAATCTAAGTTGAAATCTTATTGGGTTTGTAACTGTGCACTGTGTTAGATAATGTTCCAGTGGTCTGTTGTGGCTGTAACTGTGCACTGTGTTAGATAATGTTCCAGTGGTCTGTTGTGGTTGTAACTGTGCACTGTGTTAGATAATGTTCCAGTGGTCTGTTGTGGCTGTAACTGTGCACTGTGTTAGATAATGTTCCAGTGGTCTGTTGTGGTTGTAACTGTGCACTGTGTTAGATAATGTTCCAGTGGTCTGTTGTGGCTGTAACTGTGCACTGTGTTAGATAATGTTCCAGTGGTCTGTTGTGGTTGTAACTGTGCACTGTGTTAGATAATGTTCCAGTGGTCTGTTGTGGTTGTAACTGTCCACTGTGTTAGATAATGTTCCAGTGGTCTGTTGTGGTTGTAACTGTGCACTGTGTTAGATAATGTTCCAGTGGTCTGTTGTGGTTGTAACTGTGCACTGTGTTAGATAATGTTCCAGTGGTCTGTTGTGGTTGTAACTGTGCACTGTGTTAGATAATGTTCCAGTGGTCTGTTGTGGTTGTAACTGTCCACTGTGTTAGATAATGTTCCAGTGGTCTGTTGTGGTTGTAACTGTGCACTGTGTTAGATAATGTTCCAGTGGTCTGTTGTGGTTGTAACTGTCCACTGTGTTAGATAATGTTCCAGTGGTCTGTTGTGGTTGTAACTGTGCACTGTGTTAGATAATGTTCCAGTGGTCTGTTGTGGTTGTAACTGTCCACTGTGTTAGATAATGTTCCAGTGGTCTGTTGTGGTTGTAACTGTTCACTGTGTTAGATAATGTTCCAGTGGTCTGTTGTGGTTGTAACTGTCCACTGTGTTAGATAATGTTCCAGTGGTCTGTTGTGGTTGTAACTGTCCACTGTGTTAGATAATGTTCCAGTGGTCTGTTGTGGTTGTAACTGTCCACTGTGTTAGATAATGTTCCAGTGGTCTGTTGTGGTTGTAACTGTCCACTGTGTTAGATAATGTTCCAGTGGTCTGTTGTGGTTGTAACTGTCCACTGTGTTAGATAATGTTCCAGTGGTCTGTTGTGGTTGTAACTGTCCACTGTGTTAGATAATGTTCCAGTGGTCTGTTGTGGTTGTAACTGTCCACTGTGTTAGATAATGTTCCAGTGGTCTGTTGTGGTTGTAACTGTGCACTGTGTTAGATAATGTTCCAGTGGTCTGTTGTGGTTGTAACTGTCCACTGTGTTAGATAATGTTCCAGTGGTCTGTTGTGGTTGTAACTGTCCACTGTGTTAGATAATGTTCCAGTGGTCTGTT